CACTACCGGTCAAAAATATGCAAGTATGCAACTACCTGGCCATAAATATATTGCCAGGTCATAAAAATGACGTACTTGATACAGCTAATGAAATATGTCCAGAAATTATTTGTATTGTCTACTAATAGCTTCATTGCGTGTATTACAAAGTAATGGGTGTAATTCGGAAAAGCTGTTGACCTGATTACTTTAAAGTTTTGACCGAAGTTTTTTTTTTTTCCTTGAGTGTTTAAGGTCACACCAACCTTGTGGGTTATTAGTGACCACGGTTGGGTTATCTAGTATATCCAATCATTCTAGAGTAGATGGTAAAGATCAATATCCTTTAGGAAACATAGAACTTCTTTGCAGGAGTCTATTTCTCGAAGAACATTTAGTGAATTTGGTAGTTTGTGTTGTATTCTCTTCGTGTTGTATTTGGGACAAGTTACCTATATGTGTTCTACTGTATTTTGTATGTCACAGATGTCACAGATATTTGGTTCTGTTTTTGTGATGAGGTGTGAGTGTGTCCAATTTGAGTGGCCTATTCTTAAGCGTGTTATTTTTACTTGGTCTTTCCTATTGAATTGTACCGCTGGATTGCTATCATTTATATTATTGCGAACATCATGCAGTTTGGTTGGACTACTATTTCTCCATTCTTCATTCCAAGTTTCCATTAGCACTTTGATGCAATACTTTTGAAAGTCTCGGTGGTCTATGTATTCATAATTTGCTAGTGTCGAATTAGAACTAGCCAGTTTTGCTGTTGAGTCTGCCTTTTCATTGCCTCTGATGCCAGTATGAGAGGGGCTGTTGACCTGATTACTTTAAAGTTTTGACCGAAGTTTTTTTTTTTTCCTTGAGTGTTTAAGGTCACATCAACCTTGTGGGTTATTAGTGACCACGGTTGGGTTATCTAGTATATCCAATCATTCTAGAGTAGATGGTAAAGATCAATATCCTTTAGGAAACATAGAACTTCTTTGCAGGAGTCTATTTCTCGAAGAACATTTAGTGAATTTGGTAGTTTGTGTTGTATTCTCTTCGTGTTGTATTTGGGACAAGTTACCAATATGTGTTCTACTGTATTTTGTATGTCACAGATGTCACAGATATTTGGTTCTGTTTTTGTGATGAGGTGTGAGTGTGTCCAATTTGAGTGGCCTATTCTTAAGCGTGTTATTTTTACTTGGTCTTTCCTATTGAATTGTACCGCTGGATTGCTATCATTTATATTATTGCGAACATCATGCAGTTTGGTTGGACTACTATTTCTCCATTCTTCATTCCAAGTTTCCATTAGCACTTTGATGCAATACTTTTGAAAGTCTCGATGGTCTATGTATTCATAATTTGCCAGTGTCAAATTAGAACTAGCCAGTTTTACTGTTGAGTCTGCCTTTTCATTGCCTCTGATGCCAGTATGAGAGGAGATCCAAGAGTACAGCACTTCTTTTTTTTGACCAAAGTTTATCCTTGATTAAAGAAAGTCGCTAGAGAAATTTTTATCGGCAAGGCCTTGTTTGATCACCGACAAACAGTTTCGAAAAGTTTTCCGTTTATCTACGAAAATATTGATTTAAAAAAAAAATATTTAGAATAAAAAATAATGCTCTCAAAAAACTGTATCAAGAATGCTAGACACATTTTTTATATAAACCTATTATTTTATAATCTATTATAACTATTATAATTCAAAACCATAAAAAGTCTTTAAAAAGTTGATGTTTTCACGTTTATTTTATTGAATACTGAAAAATTTTTTAAGCGTTTCAAACGATTGTTGTAGATCTCTTTTAAAAATACATATTTTATATTGCATGAACTTTGCTGTATGACTAATAGTTGATAAGAAAATCCAAGTTAAAAATATTATGTATTTTGTTGCGCTGCAAATTGAAATCTATGTACACACAAACTTACACATATTTTTTCTTAAACGTATTTATTATTTTTTATATTTTAACTGTGCTTTATGTAAATGCCGTAGTTTCAATGAATTTTTAAAAAGTATCAATTACATTCATCCAAATCCTCTCTAGTGATCCTAAAAGATACAGAATTGAGTTCTACTCAAGTAGCGATTTATTAAAAAAATAACAAGAATAATATATTAACTAAGTTAAATATGTTTAAATTAAAAGGAAACCTCGTTAATATTTATTAAATTCGTAAATAAATATACAAAATAACAAAAATTATTGAACAAGAATAAAGTATATTACATTATACACCATTAAAAGTAATTACTGCTGAATATTCTTTACTCCAAATTTCGCTTCGATATCTTGAACGCAAAATGTTACTAAATTTCTCGATACAAACCACTGTGCGCCGTGACGCGTCATCAGCACGCGTGTGCACGCGCCGAAGAACCGGACAGCATGATGCACTCTTAAGCATGTAACCGACCTAGCCCAATCTCGACAGCCCACGCGAATCCCTGCGAGGGAGTCACCACGCAGAACGCGTTCTCGATGAAGCTGAAGAGAAGAGGAGGTCTGCGGACAGGGGAAAAGAAGAATGAAACAAACGGGAAGGAAAATGGGAGAGAAGGAAGAAGAAGAACGGTGTAGAGCGGTGTTATAAGAGTTAGCAGGGCGGTGCGTGGGTCACAATAGCTGCGGGCCACAGAACCCCCTGCTCTTTCTTCTTCTTTTTCCTGCTCTTCCTCTTTTCTTGGTCATCGTCGTTGTCGTCCTCAGGCTCGTCGTCGTCGGTCCGTGCCACGACTCGTTATGGAAAGCATACGGGATATTGTTGCTCGTATATATGGAGAGTACGAGGGAAGCGCGCCGTGCTTGTACTATGCAGATGATTCGGCGATATGGGCTATTCATTGTGAGTCATTTAAGAGTTTATGCGGTGGGTACGAGCCGTGGCCGCGTACACGCGATATGTTATTATATTGCGTATCGAAAGGTCCCCGGATAACGCATGCACCGCTGACCGATCGTAGCTCGCGGTCTTTCGCACCAGGAATACGCCGAGCTCTCTGCCCAGTTCTTCTGGAATGCATAACCAGTGCAGGTGAATGGCTGGACGCCAGTGGCTCCTCCACTTGTCCCGACAAACTGCTCAAGTTATGTTTTTAGGTTATGCTTCGGATCAGTAGTTCTTAAACTATACTGCAAACCCTGGGGACCCGAGAATTAATACTCACTTGTTACTAACTTTTCAAGCTCAATTTTAATTATCGTTTGAATCGTCCTACTCGATGTTTCTGATATATTTAATATTTTATGGAGTATTGGTTCCATCCAACCACTGCTAAAGAATGAATAAAATATGGTGTGATTAATTTTGAACCTAATGCAAACAAATAAATTATGAAAGATTATCGTTTTCGGAGGTCATACGTTAGTCAAATGCATTTTCCCTGTAAAAATAACGCTTCTCAAGAGTTTCCCTGGAACAAAAACACGACTAGAACATGTAGCATAGTGAATCTCCATAGACTGTACGGGATAGAGGATTTTTTGTAGTGTATCGATGAATAAACAGACAGAGTTACGATAAAACGCCCGAAGCTGTCCGTTCCAGGCGTGTTATGCATGCGAGAGAGCAAGGGTAAATGACGGAGGTGGCAGCGTTGATGATGGTGGTGATGCAAAACATGATAATAATAATGACGACGTAGACGTCGTCGAGAATGAAACGGACACGCGTCTACTTCGCATTTCTTTCAAGCTTTGTACGATCACTCGTCTCTTGCTTGCGATCTTAACTAGCGAAATGAAACGCCACTGAACCACGATGATCGTACCGTTTAAACTAATCCCAGAGTCCATCGTTATTTAATTTCTTGCCATTGGAGTTTGTCCAATGTATCGATTGGATGGATGGCAAACAAAACCCAAACCCCTCCAGCTACCAATACTAGAATCAAGTTATACCACCCACGTAATTCATCTCCGATCCGATTACCTTGGCAATGGCTTCCATTCTCTGTTGCTCAGCTGGCTGTTGCATGGACGATCTTAATGTTCGCGAACCGGACGATCTGTGTCTGATGAATCATTGTTAACTTCCATACGGCCATACAGTTCACGCAGTTAGTTTCTTAAAAATCTACAATTAGGAATATTAATTTTTTACAAAAAACTTCATTCTTTCTGCCTTCATTTTTTGCATTGCTCAGAAAATGAACAGGTAAACCAATTCTAGTATGATTGGTATTTCAGTTTTTCTAATATTCTAGTATGATTGATACTTCAGTTTTTTAAATTTGAGAAACTATATTCGACAAATTATAATATTTGGAATAATATTCAGTAAATTATAATTATCTGTCGATGAAGCTTTGAAAAGTAGTCAGAAATGATTTGCCGTCAAAAGGATGCCATATTTCTGTTGTTCGACAAAATAAAAAGTGTTTTTCACAAATCACACTGAAGTTTACTTTAAATATGAGAGATGTGATTAATGTATATTAATATACAAATTCTATAGCTAGCGTATACAAACTCTGCATTTTTTATAAAAGTTTATTCTAATTTTTAAACTAATATAATTAGATTAATATATTTAAAATTAAATGAAAGAATTTCTTTAATAATCAATTATAAGGGGATGAAAAATTAAAAACGAAGGAAATAAAAGATGCAGGAAGCATCTGTAATGTAATTAATATTTTTCAATATACTTTCACTTTCTGATAGCGGATCAAAAAACACAACTCGTGTCTTCTACTCGTAAGAACAATCTAAACCTAGTAAAAGCTAATGCAGAACTTAGGAAAATATAGGGACATTTTTCCACTCCTAATTATTAGATGAATACAACGCCTGCAGGCTATTAGCCATCGGTGCACGCTACAGCTGCCTATCGCCGTTGTAACTGACTGGTGACCTTTGTAGTTGGCATGTTTGTTAACGATGCTGACTTATAACTTACAACTTGCAACGAATAAACAACTGTACGATATACTGTGGATGCATAAGTTCGAAATACTTTGAAATATTATAAATGCGAATTCTGGAAAGCTGGTGCATATAGTTTTCATATATTTACAGGAAGAATACAGCCAACGTAGACGCTTATCCACTCCCAGCGGCAGTCCCAGTCCGCCTAGATCGACGAGGCTGTCAAGATCTACGGGTACACTCACAAGAGAAGAAGAATCCTTTCGCGAATCGAGCAACACCCTCACCCGAGAGAATCAAGGGCAGGAAGCTGAACGGAAGGGATGGTTCAAATCTTTGTCCAGGAAAAACAAACCGAGCATTAAAGTAAGTTCTACGTTAAAATTTAAGTTGATTCGAAAGTTGGTAGTAATCGGGTGCAATGTCAATAATTGAATTTGAAATTAATAATTTTCTGGACACAGAAAATTTCTTCAAATCTTTAGGCAAGATGAAGTTGAACAACAAAATAGAGTTATAAATCCTCTTTGAAACAGATACATACATTAGTGATTGTTATAGTGAAATAGTGCTTGTGATAGTGGTTTGTTGGAAGACTAATCAAATAAAAAGATTAAGAAATAAATAAGTCACTTTGAATTAGAATATCTGCAGAAACTAAATATGAAAACAACACGAGGGTGGATGCATGAATGTGTAAATGAAGTGCAATCACTGACACTGTTAAATAGAGTACATTCTTGTTATATTGCAAGAGATAAGGCTGTAGGAGTCGTAATTCTTACAAGTGATGGTAGAAAAGGTTCTTCCGGGCAGTATTCAAAAGTTTGTAAATTTGAGAATCGGTGATTTAAACAGGTTAGTATTTGGAAATTGGCAATTTCAGGATTTGGATATTTAAGAGTTCAGAAATTAAAAAATTTGATAATTTAAAAATTTGAGAAGTTAGATATTTAAAAATTTACGGAATTAAAAATTTAGAAACTTAAAAATTTATAATTTTAAGGATTTGAACTAAATTTAGAAATTTAGAAATTCACAGTATTGAAAATTAAGAAACTTAAAAAAAAACTTTGAAACTTATAGACTTTTCAGTCTTGCAGCTCTCAGGCTTTACAACCTTCAACATTTAGATGTTGCGGTTTAGAAACTAAAAATTTGACAATTTAGAAATTTAGAAATATGACACTTTTGAAGATCAAGAAATGCAAAGATATGGAAAACTAAAATTTAAGAATTTAAGATTTTGTAAATTTAAAAAATCGCAGATTTAAAAATTTTAGCTTATAAAAATTAAGTAATCAGGAAGTTGTGCTTTCAGAAATATGAAAATTTATGAATTTAAAAAGCGTCACTATTATACATAAAAGATCATGTGAAAGGAAACTCGCACTATCCTATATGCATATGGTTAGCAGAAGTAGAAAGTTCTTTCTGTCCCACACACCATTGCATGCACCATGGAATACTGGGCCTGTGAGCTTTCTAACATTCTTAATATGTTCACTATTGGATTAAATCTCTACGAATTTAAAAAATCGAACACTGAATGCAAACATTCATTTTATAACTGCCATCAACCAAAAATTCGATTACCTTATCTATAATAATACAACATTAACCTAACCTTTTAAGAAACTCCCCTCATTTTATAAAAATCAAAAGAAGGTATCGTCAGCAGAAATACAGGGACTTAAAGGGATCACGTATCAAAGAAAATATTCAAAAAGAAAAAAGTAATTTACAGAACTTCTTCAGCAACTATCTGATACCATAAATCCGAGCACAAAAGGTGTATTTTGTTCGCGTGGAATAGAAAAATCCTGAGCATCCCCGGTTGTTTCGAACCGTGGCGCCTTCATGAGTCATGATCCTCCTCGACCCATCGACTCTTCCGATAGATCATCGTCCACGGCAAGATTCACGCGCACGCAATCATCTCGAACGGCCCTGTATCGAAGAACGGCTACGATCAGAATCGAACTCTGACAGAGATTATTCCAGCTTGGACGATGGTTAAGCTAGGCAGCCTCCCTGATCGGCACTTAATCTCGCGATTAAATTAAACCACAGAGCGCGGAGTTAGTTAAGCATTTAATCAAACTGGTAATTGGAGGTTGTACTGGCCTAATGGCTCCGCTCTGTAGCGATCTGTGCTGACTGATGAATGCACTGGCTCACTCAACTCACCGCGAACCCGATAACCGGACCCACGATCCGCTCGTCCGCTCGTTATCGGATGCAACTTTCAAAAAATTCTGTTACGGCTCGAGTCCTGCTTGTTTTGTGGTCTGCGTGGAGCAACAGAGCTCAGCCACGAGCCATTCAACCAGAACACCAAAAAATTCTACGTTTTATTATCATCGCTTCTTTTGCGAGTTAGATCATACAAGGAGTGTAAAGTCAGCGGGGTAGTACGATCCGCGGTAAGGGAACGAGTAGTGATACATTGGGTGATTTCTCCTGGATGCTATTCGGTTAATCCCGTAATGTCTGATAGTTAAAATTATAGACTATCGACTTCTATGGCCAAAATGTAACCGAAAAGAAAAGTATTGTAGTTTGTATGACAAATACGGGGTGTTGAATAAGTATATGCCTTCGTTTTCATTAATCTGAATTTTCAGCTGAAAATATTTTTTAAATCTAATTTAAAATTACACAAAAAGCATTCGACATGTTAACATAAATATTCATCTGATTTAAAAGCTAATTTTCAGGTGTTCCATAAATATACCAACTGTTAACAGTAAAAGATGCTACGATGATTCTATGGATGGTACATTTTGCAATATTTAACTTTGAATTTTTATGTTTATCTCAAGGAAACACTTTTAAAGGGCAACTTGAACGCTTCTTCTCACCATGATTACGTCTTTTACTAACATAACCGGCAACAGTACTTTTCGAACGACCTGTTTGTTTCGCAATCTAAACATAACCTTTGCCTTCAGTGCGAAAAGCATCGATCATAGTATTTCCTCTATCTGAATGTTCTTTTCCACGAAACATTTCACTTTCTAACCTTTAGCAACGAATATTACGAATGTAAAGTGAAACAGTTAAAGGTAATATAATGAATTAGTTTACTTATGAATATTGATCGACGTTAATATAAAAAAAATATACAATGTATCTTTACGAAACGCGTAAGTGTTAGATTATAGTATGTATCCCACCTTAATATGTACGTTAATATCTCTATTTTCATTTACACAATTAATTCTTTACATACTAGGAATTAGTATTTAAGGAATATTGATCATAATTTTCTACCAAATTAGGTCATTGAAAACATGAGGGGTTGATTGTATTTATGCAATGCACTATGTATATGCAAATGGATAGGAGGTTAACATCTTAAATTATGAATAACTCAATGAAAATAAAAGATTTTTTAAAAGATCTGTACATTGTGTAGTTTATACAATATATTTAATAAAGTTAGTATAAAATATTATAGTATAGTATAAAGTTTTTTTTTATAAGCTCGTATTTATATTGTTTAGATGCACCAAGAAGATGTCACTAATAAATCTATGTAATACGGACAACATAATATTATTTCGATGTTTTAACCCACCAAATGATCGATTGCTTATGCTGCTATGTAAAAGCTTGCATTATCATCACACAGAATGAATTTATTTTTTATATGTATTTGTTTCATGTCGATGCCTAACGATGACTGAATCTCACGGTATGTTACATACCGATCCATCTTTATCATTTCCTGCAGAGTATCGATGTTTTCTGAGACAACAACTAATGGACGACCTTCACGAAAATCATCACTGAGTAAAAAATCATTGCATGAAAAGTGTTCTTGATTTAAGTCAATTTATTCATCCTTTCCTCAATTTTAAGACTTTATGAAAACAATGCTTAATGTTTCTGTACTCTTTCGACACCTTATAACTTAAAAATTGGCAAATTTAACAATAATTATCATTCGAGTAATAGTAGCTGGAAGTGGCAAATTCTCAATGTATTTGCAGTAATCTATCAAGACGTATATCTGTGAATTTCTAAAATAATATATTACTCAATCTATAGATCCCTAGACGCCTAAACTCTTGAATTCTCAGGTTCTTCTATATACTTAAATCCTTAGATCTATAAACCCTTACATCCCTAGATCTCTAGAGAGTTCTTATGCTCAGATGTCCAGACTGTATTTGTAACTCCTCAAATCCCTCGATTCTTAGAGATTCAGATCATCGGATTTCTAGACCCTAGATCCCTGAATCCCCATATTCTTAAATTTTTGGGTCTTTAAATTCTCAGATCTTTGCATCTTCAAATCTCTGAATCTCCGGATCCCTAAAATCACATACTTCTAAGTTCCCAGATCCGTGAATTCACAGATCCCTAATCCCTAGATGTGTAAATTCTTAAATCCTCAAATTCCTAAATTCTTAAATACAAAGATCCTTACATCTGTGAATCCTGAAATTTCCATATATGCATTCTCATATGAATCCCTATATTGATACGTTTCCATTCACAAATAAAGGAACATTTAAGTGAGTATATTAAGTCTGTACTTATTCAAATACAATTATTTTTCTGAATTTCTAAACGTTTGAAAATGAAGTTCGTATTTTCCCGACTGCTGTATATAATTAATAATTGATTTCCAATGGAATTAATTGACAAAATGTTAGAGAAGGAAGATGCCATTTATGGCGAAGAAAACTGCCTACCTAACTACCTTGTGAGAGTTCTTTAATTTTCCTTACAAACGTGTATCACGTCACCATGGAGGCGTTTACCGTGGTATTATGCATGCAACATAATTTCAAAGTATAGAATCCATTCTCTACAAAAACATCGCCCACCAGTTACCAATTTTGGAGCGAGTCGAGTTTGTGGAATTTGATTGCTTTAAAGAAACCGTTTCGGATGAATGATGTCATAAACAAGAATATTTTATTATAGGTACCATACGTTTCGACCAACAATGATCACTGATTTTATCAAAATAGAGTTAATTCAATAAGGTTATTCAAATCCATGAAGCTTTCATCTTCAAATTCAATTATTGAAATTTTATCCCAGAATACTTTATCGAGTAAAAACTCGAATATAAATTATTTTTTATTTTATTTTTCAATCATAAATTTGGATAATTTAAACAAATTAGTCTTCAAGATTTTAAATTCTTCAGTTCTTCAATTGTTCAAATTCCAACTCTTAAAAATAATTAACTTTAGAAATAACGGATCATAGCAGAATCATACATATGTGTAACAAAATTCAACCATTTGCAAACTAAGAAAATTCTTGAAAAGCAAGTACATATTTCTTCTCAGTATGTAGTCTACCACATATGTGCACGATTCATATTTACAAACATGAATATATGTAGACGCATTAAATCAAGTCGCGCGAACAAACTTGATTGTATTCGTTCACGAATAGAATTTCCTATAGAATTCCTATTTTTCCTACAGCACTTGAACTGTTACCGTGTTGCGTGCTCATTCATTTCTGCCGATTTTTCCATCGTGGCAATCACTTTCATCGTCAATCTTGATATTTCAGACGGTGGATAAGAAACCCAGGATACCGGAAAGCGAGATCTTAACGACCGGCACCGAAGACGAGGAAGCTTCGTCCGCACCCGAACGAGTCTCCGTGCAGAAGAATCTACGTTTCTTCGGCGATACGGATCAAGAATCCGTTTCTTCCAACAGAGATCGTAGGTGAGCCGAGATCTACAATTGCAAACGAAACTTTCTAAACGATACCGTAAACTGAATAAACATTGACAAATCTTTGTAATAACTGTTACAAAGACAGTGCAGCATATTTACATTAGTTTGTTTAAAAGGAAGAAATGATTACGATTAATAATGGAAACAAATAAAATTACATAACATCTTAGAGAAAGTAATAAACTTTCATATTTTAAATTATCGGTAAATTTAAAAATTTCGAAGTTCCAATTTTGAACGTTAAAGGAGATGAGACATGATTATCGCGCCTAGTTTAATTATTTACTATCCATGTAAAAAGTACTTTAAAAACTTGATACTCTACATTATTACAACAGTAACAGAGATATAATTTTTCAGAAATAAACGAGCTGACGACCATGCCTGTTCAGGGCGTGATGTTACGAGTTCAAGCCGACATAATTTAGGCATTCTATCGCCACCAAGGAAACCACCAAGGCTCGCTGAAAGCGCATTATCTTCCGGGGAGAGCACAACAGGAGACAGCAGTCAACAAAGTCAAAATTCCCAAAGATCACAGAGATCTGTTGTATATCTTCATGCTGCTACAGGTAAAGGACCTTACACACTTCATATAGGAAATGTATTTTCCGTAAAATTTGTTCATTTCGTGATATGTTGTCTTTCTTTTCGAGCTGATCAACAATTGTAGTAGACGCCAGTTTCCAAACGTTTATATATATATATATATATTATATATATAAAAATAATGGGACAGCATAAAAATTATTCTATTCTTATGCTTTAGTGCACTGGGGAGTTTTTTTTTAGCAAAGAACTAAACTTTTTACAATAAAATAAGTTTCACTATCTTATAAAGTTCAGAAACAGAATACAGATTCAGTGATATATATGTAAAGGTCCGAAGATTTACGTGACAAGCGTGTTGATCAAAAACTGAGCGATTGAACTCAGTTTATATGTATATTAGTTAATGACACAATTTTATGTTTACTAAAATGTACAAGGTGAACCTAATTTGATATATAAAAGTAGGCTAATTAACAAAACATATGAATCAGAAACTGATTTGTAAACAAATTATTTGACTGTTTACGTTTACGCATGTATAGAGACAGTAATGACTGACGAAGAAGTTTAAGTCCGACTGTATAACTATACCTGATAAAAACCGGACAATAAAATATATTTTGTACCATAATGGTATAAAATACGTATCTTATATAATAATATCATTGTAAGAATATTTTATTAAATCTACTTGATCTCATACATTTCACCAAATATTTCTTAAAATTTTTAAGATTGTACAATTTACCCCCGTTACGATATTTGATCAGCTCAATAAGAACGACGATATGTTAAATGATGAACCAATTTAACAGAAACCGGATTTCCTATATGAAGTGTGTGGGGTCCTTTTTTTAGACTTCTATCACCTTTTAAGATGATGTTTATCTATGTCTATACTTATTTACATAAAGTGATATTTGCATATTCGCCTTGAAAAGTGAAGTTTATCAGGCTTCCGATTTATTTCTTAAAAGTTATAATTTAAAAGAATTTATAAATAGCAATCAATAGTTTATGCACTGATTAAAGTGATAAAGAATCTTTTTTTTTAATTTCAATGATCATTCCCCCTTTCTTTTTCATATTATTCGACCTAAATTCAATACGTAACTACAACCGTGAATGACCATTGCAGCTGACATATTAAATAAATTCTTACATTAATTTATAATCGATATTGCTATTGGACTACGACATTTTGAAAATAAATACAATTGATTTAGTTAAATTATAACATTAAATTACCAAATGTTAAATGTAACTATGTGTTTTTAGTTGGTGAAATACCTGGCCCTAATGAACGACGCAAAACAGCGAGCAGGGAGGAACTAAATCGACCCTTGCAATCTCATACGAGAACAGTATCGAGAAGCGTAAGCGTTCTCGCACCATGGAAACCCAGACATTATAGAGAACCTTACGAAATAAATTACGATCAACAATTACATACGAAACCGATGGCGACTATGAGGCGCAGGCAGAGAAGTCGCGAAACGCTAAGTCGTCGAGGAAAAGATCCACGAAGAAGCAAAGACAATCTCTCGAAAACAGGTAAAAAATTTGTAAATTTGTATTCTCAATATAGCAGGAATGAATAAAAATTAAGTATATACATATAAAATTCAATGTAACATAGACATCTATTAGTTAAATCAAGTATAAGAAAAAAAGATTGCGGAATCTTTGAAAATTTCAGGATTTTCTTAAAAATATCACTAATTCATTCAGAAATTCCCTAATATTTGTATAGATTCTTCCTTGAATATTTCTGTTTTCATTAGGATTTCCTTAGGTGGTCCCTAAAAAAATTTCCCCTACATTTTCTGTGAATCACACCAAAACCAAAGACAAGTGAAACTTCCTTCTTCTATTTATTCTTAGCTAAAAGAATATTAGATCCGTGCGTACGTGAAAGGTTGATGAATAGTGGCTACTTTTTGCTGCAGTGCTTGAACATAAATCATTAATAATTTTGATAGTAATATAAATTATGTTGCAGGCACGATCAATCGCAGCACGCTGAAATCGAAGGACAAGCAAAAAGTGGACAGAACCGTTTCCACGGAATCGTTGGCTACTAAATCAAGGAGTGTCAACTCGAAACCAGAACTAAGCAGGTCCACGTCGGTTCCACGCGATCCGAACAAGAGTGCGGGATGGTTCAAGCTGAAAAGCAAGAAATCTCGGGCTTGAAGAGGAGGCCATTGATCAATGCTAGTCTTCAGTTTCATATTAAGTAGTTTGTAATCATAAAGGATTAACGATACATACGCGCCGAGTACACCGCCATGATCGCGGTGAATAATTCTAAATCAGCTATTTTATTACCGTTTTTTCTTTGTTTTTGTTTCTTCTAATGTACAATGAAATTCGTGCAACGCGAAAGAATTAATGAATTAATTAAAGAAATCTTAATTAACCAAGTACAAAAGCTTGAAAACGTTTATGCATACTAATCGTAACCGAAAGAGTAATGTAAAATTTAAATCACGCCTATGAGTTTCTGAACCAGATTATGTTGTAATCTGTTATATTATTAAACATTATCTTGATTGTATTTTTTCCTTCAATTAACACTATCCTTTTTTTGTTATGTGACGGTAACAAACAAGTTTAAATTACCAAGAGAAAAAGAATCAATTCAAAGAAAAATACACGAGTGGTACATAGAAACACATTAATATGTTACCTTTTATATAACAGTGCCTTCTCTCTACCAAATTTAACAAATTAAATTTGTTGCGTGAGATGAGAATGCATTCAAAGATGTTGTACATAATATTCGTCTCATAACACACCTGTTACTCATTGTTCATGGAATTAATAACAGCATCGAATTATGGTGAAATTATTCTAAAAATTATGAATGTGAAGTGTATGGTTTATAAAAAAAAATTATTCAGTTCAATTCACCGTGAATCAGAGTGCCATTTCCATTTTCCTAAGTATGTACACATTGTTCCAAGTGAAATCAAAATTTCTTAACTTTCTGCGTAAAATATTCTAATCTATTTAATGTAACAGGTAATACGTGTTAAGATAAGCGATAGTATAATAGTGTGAACAGAGAAATAGTTGTGTCACAACGATTGCAACAAGTCGTACAAGAGGATTAACCAACAGTTAATGTATAATTATGAAATGTTTATTGTGCATAGATCAATTCGATCTTACTTACATACACTAATTGTAAATATTTGTAATAATAATCTTTGTTTCTAACTACCTTCATATTGCTTTATTGTGTCTCCACTTTTTCTATCTTTTTCAACTGGTGATCATTAAAGATTACACTTTCTTCAAACTGATAATTGGTATTAGTCATTTCTATAAATATATAAATTTGATGTGGTAATTGAACAAATTCATTTTTATCCGGTGCTCTTTATTATCTTATGTACATATGAACAGTTATGATTCACATGTAAATATTACATTAACAATTCATCCAAATCTGTCGATAAGTTTGTACTATTCATTAACATAGTTATTAACTCTTTATAAATATAAGAAACAAATGTTAATTGTCTAAAAATTCAAATCTTAGAATGAATTATATTTTGTAATAAAGTTACTAACTTGAAATAAATAATTAAAAATAATATCAAATATTTTCAGTGATCATAAAAAGTCAACATATACCCAAGTATAAAAAAATTTGTTCAATAGGTAAATTAAGAATAACAGAAATAAATTTGTACAAATTTTTCTTTGAAAACTTTAGCAACATAATTCTTTTTTATATTTACTGTTTTGTTTCTTTTATGCAAATATTTCAAGAACTGATGAATCCTATGTATTGTTGAGCAAAATTAAAGAATGAATAGGAACATAAAGCACAATACCTAATATAAGTTCACACATTGGTTTATTAACAGTTGATAAAATCATTTTCACTTTTATACATTTAACACTTCTGGGCACTTAATTAACAATAAATCACTGAAATAATTCATAATTGCTAATGATAAAATAATTGTCATCAGTTACCTATGTTTTAGTTAATATGTAATCAATAATAATAAATTTCATCCAAATTTGTTATCATGCATGCCAATTATATTTCAAATGCTAAGATACTAAATTTAAATGATCATAATGTACTGTCCATTTTATCCCAACAGCAAAGAACAGTTCCAACTAAAATCAATATCATCCCAATGTACATATCTGAAAAATAATACATTGTTACATCACACTAATATTACTTTACAAATATGGAAGAATTATAGATAATGTACCAACTTCTGTGTATCTTTTCTTCGCCTAAAAACCAGCCAGTTATTGCAGTTATTACAAAGGTAAGAGAATTAGTGACTGGAACAGCCAGAGATATATCAGCATTACCCAAAGTTAAAAAATATAGTACAGAACCCAGTTGGTTGATTATAAATGGTATAATGTACTGTATAAATAAAAGTAATCAATAATGGTATAATATGTCTACATATTATAAATATAATAAAACTCTAAAACAAAACCTTCAACTGTGTAACAAGAAATGCAAGCTCTTTAAAAAATTGACCAAATTTAGAAGATGCTTTCACATTTTCCAATCCTTTGGCTCCTTTTTTGATAAATGGATTAGTTACACCCCATAAAAGTGCTACAAAACTAAGATATACAATAGAATCTGCAAAATGCATAAAATATAATATTAATTGTTTCAATTTTTACTATACACCATGTTCTAGATTCTTCCACATAAACTTCTATAGATAAAAGAAGACTAAAATGTGAAACAAAAAATTCTCAAATATTTATAAAGATGAACTGTGAAGGATACATTAATACTTTTATTTAAGGGCACTAGGAAACTCAATTTAGTTTAAATAATCAAAATTAGGTTTCTTGTATTTTTCATGTCGTAAATATTTTAATTTATTGTTATTCCATCAAAAATACGATGCAAATTTATGTAAATTCCATGTAATAGTAAAAATTAGATGCCAATAGTGTTCAAATGATGATATCCAATCAGCTTCATGAAATCAGTATGCAACATTAAGCCAAATACATTACAATTGGTAGATAACGCATGGTAAAATTAAAGTAGCCCCATTACACAGTGCACACTCCAATTTTTAAAAATTGTTTTTTGTACTTCATGTTCTTTTCTCTCATGTCTTACTGAACAGATTTTGATATTACTTTTTAAATTTGTTTACAAATTTTTTTAGTGTTCAAAAAAGGGAATTGAAGAAGATATTTATAAAAAATTCTTGATTTCTTCATAAAACGATCATGGGTATAACACCTATGTTAAAATGCAGAGAAAAGTTGGACAAAAGGACTGGTAAAAATTGCAGTCATATAGCTCACATGGTTCCTTCAAAAAAGATACATGAATTTGTAGATGAAAACTTGAGTTTCCCAAAGGCCTTAAAGTGTATTATTCAATATTCAAGATATGTCTCAAAAGTAATGAGAAGGATTTTAGAAAATGGTTTATTCTTAAACACATACAGTTAGAATAACCACCTCAGAGTAAGTTTTGTGAGACAACACACAGTTAGAAATCTATCATTCTTTATAATATTGCAAGAATTTCCATATGACAGACTCTTTGAAGTCCTTGTTACAATTAATAGGATTTTGTAAATGAAATATATTGTTTTTTCAAATGAATTTTGATTCTGAGAAGCAAAAGAATCATCATGAAAAACCAAATCAGGCTTATAGAATATATAGGGAAGGATAAAAATGCTTTTCTGTATCCTAAATTATATTACATCTAATGATGTCTAATTAATGCGCAACTGTTTTCAGTGTTCCCGTCTCGTTTATGCGCAGTCTAATATTTAATCATTCGAGCCTAATTTAGACAGCCTTCTCCATCATATTTACACTAATTCTAAACTCTGAAGATTAGAATGACCTGTCTTTATACCTGCACTGATTTGTACCTGTCAAATTTGAGCCGATTACAAAGCAGCTTTCCTATATGATGTCTTCAATATCTCTCACAAAATTTGACTGTATAATAATGCATGATGCCACTCCACATTTTTATTTGTAACAAAAATGGAAAATAAAAGTGCATTTCTATGATATTCTTAATACTTAAAAAAGTCAGGCTTCATTAAAAAAGATTCAATCATATATGTGATATTCTTCTTGAATTATTTAGCCCTCATGAAAAATCATTCTACTATTTTTGTTATATACTTTCTTGGGCAACATATGTTTTTAAAGATCATTCATTGTAGCTGCTACTTTTACATTTTAATGCAAAATTAATTTCAGTTTTGTTTTATACTGTTAAATAACAACTCATGATCACTGAATTGTCTACAATATATTTAAATTTAAGTACATAGATATATATTTTGTGTACAATTTGTCTAGCAGAAATTTAAGCTATTGTCAGAAATGTTTTCCTAAATGTAGAAATAGAACTCGTATTGCAATGCAACTCACATTATATTTATTAATTTTGATCTCGTAATAAATTATTTATGAATATTCTGTAACAGGACATTTTAATCTTATTTTTAATCTATATAGAACAAAATGACGAAGTTTATACGGAAACATGACATACTGTGTACATAATGTTTATTTATATTACTTTAACATTGATAACAATTAGATAAATATATAAATGTATTCTTACCTAAAGTCATTGCAGACATTTTTTGATGAAAGAAAATTAGAAATACACAGATATATTCAACTCATAAATGTTTAAGAATTAACGCAAAAATATGATGAAATATAACTATAACCTAAAAGACGTAACTACTTTGATAACGTCAATACTGACACTTTCATACTTGATGACAGCTTTTGGCACAATGAACACTGTACATTTAAGTGCAAATCATCTTCACTGTAGAAATTATATAAAAGAGAAACAAGTCCCTAATACTCATAATAACATCTACACATTGTCACGCATTAAATATAATTTACAAGCATTTTTGAAATAGATAACTAATAAAATTTTCGAAAACATGTGCTTATTTTTAAATGCTATATATTTTATTACATACTTCACATTTCAAAGAGGCGATTCTAGGAAGTACATAAAAATACGAAGTAACATTTTTTATAATTGAACATTACATTGAAATTTAAATTCATAGCGAAAGTACCATACCGTTTTAATATTTAAAAAGGGTATACAAGACAATAGTTTACTATAAAGTAATTAATTTATAGGGTTAATAACATTTTGGAAGCCCCATTATTGCCTGTATTTTAAAATTTTATTTTTCGTACGCACTGTCAAGAAACTACCGCTACCACAAAGTAGGGATACCAGAAGTGACACCAGTGATGAGATATTGGCCGGGTTTTTTCGCGCATGCGCGAGAAATGCAGGAGCGTATCTATTTAGTGGTGCCATCAGATGGCGTAGTGTTGTTGGCGGGAAAGCAGTGAAAAATAATGAAGAGTGATTAAGATACCCCATTTTATTGAAACTTGTACTTTACTGAGACTAAAATTGCTGCGCATGCGCGAAAAAACCCAGCCGATATCTCATCACTGCCGTGTGCCTTTCGGTTTCCTTCGGTTTTGCGGTTGTGTTCAGAACTGCTTATTGGAATGTTACGTGGGCTTGAATACCTATGAGCGGATCGCCTGTTTACACCTATTATGGAAAGGGTTTCAGCAGTACCACCTGTACCGATTAAATTGTTACTCAAATGTATTAATTAGAAAAATCTTTATTTTATCAATGGTATAGTATAATGTGCGACACGGTTCGCGGTGACGACGGAAGACAATAAAAGAAGTTCGACATAGATATCCTCTTCCGATAAATACGCGAAAAAACCCGGCCAATATCTCATCACTGAGTGACACTCTTTTTCGGCACATTTGATCTCTCGCAAACGCTGTCCCTTTAAATTAGTTGTGCAGATGAGCGGGAAATTCAAATCAAATGAATCTTTGAATAATTTAGAATATATTTATAATAAATTTCCTATATATTACTAATATTGCCTTTTGAGATATTTGCATCAATTTTACGACGTTGAAAATTTGAAAAAGAAAAAAATATACGAAAATGATTACTCTATAAAATATATTTGAAGAATATGTATTACGGAAATAATTATTACAAATAACTTATAAAAAAATGACAAACTATGTATCACCAGAAAATACAGATGAATGTATTAGAGAGAAATGACAAAATATTTATTATAAATAAACTACTGGTGAATGTGCAGTAGGGTGGCCCTTAGCTATAGAGCTCGATTTTTGTTTTCGATTTTTTCATCGTCTCATCCCCTAAAATTTTGACACTTGACGAAAAAATGATAATGTCAAAGTTTCAGCAGGATTGGATAACAGGAACCCGTGCCGCAATCGAGTTGAAGTTTTGAAACTTGTACGATTTCAAGTTATCGTCGAATATGTTAGTAACCTTTTATTTTAAAAGCTTCAGTGAATATTTTATAATGAAAATATAATTTTTCACACGTGTAATACTAGCATTTACATACAATTACAACATATACATATTTACATATTTACATACGATATATTTACACACAAATGTAACGTAGCTTTTAAGTTACCGGAGAATGTGACGGTTGGGCAACTGGGAGCTGTATATAATTTGTACAAAAGTTTTTCCAATAATCTCGATTGTATTAGCACTTATAAGCAAAATATTCTTTAATGGAATTTCAGTTATGTCTTATAAATTAACCTATTGTTAAATTGTACGTAGCGTTTAATATATATTCTGTGTTAATATAGATTTGCTTACATTAGAATAAAAGCTTTTCTAATTCTCAATTACTTGTAAAATGTATTGTTTATCTTCTTCATTTTTGGTCAACCAATTATTATATTCAGATATAAGTTTAACACCACGTTCAGCGATATCGTTTACCACTTTTAAATTTCTTGCAATTTCCAAACCTTTTTGATATGAAATATCATTTTTCCACAAGGAAGAGTCTTTTTCTAAGAAATCTGTAGGTATATTGTACCTGTTAAGCCATTTTTTAGATTCAGTAGAAATGAAGCTATCAATATTCATATTTACATAGTTTTGTACGTTTTCCGAAAGTACTACAAGTTTCTTTACTGAATGTTCCATATTATCATTTTTTAGAGCCTTAATCATTTTCCTTTTTGTGTTCAATGGTATTATTTCATCGAAAAAGGATAATACCACATTCTCAGATGCAAGGTACCATAAATTGTTAGAAAATTTGCGTATTCCTATTCTAGCAATATTATTATCATTTGTAGAATACAAGTATAGATTTTGTAGAAATTTTAGATCTTGTAATGGTGCTTTTACGGGAATTGGTGCATTAATCCAGGCTTGAATGTATAAATTAGCTAAAAAAATACATATATCACTTATCCCTATGATTTCATTACTATCCAATAAAAATTCTTGTCGAAATAAATAAATCTTTTGCACGTAAATTGCTTTAGCCATCCACCTAACATTATGAAACGCTCCAGGAACATGAAAAGTATTTCCTCGTGGAAGAGATACACCAAGAAAAATTATCATCAACTCCAAAAGTTCTTTGTAATTCCCTATGATTTCATTACTATCCAATAAAAATTCTTGTCGAAATAAATAAATCTTTTGCACGTAAATTGCTTTAGCCATCCACCTAACATTATGAAACGCTCCAGGAACATAAAAAGTATTTACTCGTGGAAAAGATCCACCAAGAAAAATTATCATCAACTCCAAAAGTTCTTTGTAATCATCTCTCGGCTGCTTTTGTCGTAAATGGTATAAGCAAAAATTTATTTTTTCTTCTACATCCTGGAGCTTTCCATAAACATAAGAATCTTGTATACCTGTTTTAAAATTTGATAAATTAATCTTAAGCCAAGCTTTTTGAAATTTTTTAAAAAGCGGTACTTCTTACCTGATCCCTTGATCAGGTAAAACACGGTAATATTCACCACTGCCGGGAATCTATTTGTATATCTACCATGCAGAGCACCTACTATACATTTCTTTAATACCGAAATATCTATTTCATTTTACATAGAGATCTCTAGATCTCTAATGGCTAACTGAATAGGAGATTAGTTTTCGTATTCGAGATGACCGTTTCAGCAACTACAGAATGAGATTCATACTAACATTAGCGGTAACATTCAATAATTTTTAGTATATTTTTGAAAATCATACACCAACACTAAAATTATATGTATATAAAATCATATTTTCATTATAAAATATTCACTGATACTTGTAAAATAAAAAGCTACTAACATATTCGACGATAACCTGAAATCGTGCAAATTTCAAAACTGCAACTCGATTGCGGCACGGGTTCCTGTTATCTAATCATGCTAAAACTTTGATATTATCATTTTTTCATCAAGTGTCAAAATTTTAAGGGGCGAGACCAAAAAAAATCGGAAGTCGAAAAATAAGGGCCACCCTAATGTGCAGGCTTAAACTATTGTTACGGATGGAAATAGTCGAACGAGGAGTATCAGAGCATAAAACAAGAATTTAAGACGATTAAAAGATTATTTTGAATATGTTATTTAATTTTGCGCCGCCTCCGAAAAGGTTGAAATGTATTTAATATAATACCTAACGAGTAAATAAGTTTCATTCATATCTGTTACGTAATTGTATGATTGAATGAAATAGAAATTACTTCATTAGGAAATAGAAATTATTTTATACTTTTTAGTGCATTTCGAAGTCGGCGTATTTTTTTTCTAAAAATTATTTTATTTCACACTTTTTATCGGCCGGCAAGACGTGTTTGTAGAAACAGTAGAAAATCGGCGACTGCATGTTGACTCATACACCACCAGAGACACGGAGGCATACGTAGAATTCAATATATTAGTAACAATAGTTTTTCGCTAATAACTCGAAAACTAAAGCTTCCCCTTAATTGTGGATAAGGAAAAAGTTGTTCAGAATCGTGTCCCTGATAACATATTAAAAGGACATGAAAATCGTCCAAAGTTGATTTCAAAACTTTTCAACAATTTTTCGCTAATATCTCGAAAACTAAACCTTTCCGCGAAATTTGTATATAAACAAAATTGTTCAGAATCATGTCCGTGATAAGATACTAAAAGCGCACTAAAATCGAGAAAACTTTATTTCAAAAGTTGCCGGTTTTTTTGCAATAACAATACTTTGCAATTAAAAAAAAAAAAAAAAAAAAAAAAAAAAAAAAAAAAAAAAAAAAAAAAAAAAAAAAAAAAAAAAAAAAAAAAAAAAAAAAAAAAAAAAAAAAAAAAAAAAAAAAAAAAAAAAAAAAAAAAAAAAAAAAAAAAAAAAAAAAAAAAAAAAAAAAAAAAAAAAAAAAAAAAAAAAAAAAAAAAAAAAAAAAAAAAAAAAAAAAAAAAAAAAAAAAAAAAAAAAAAAAAAAAAAAAAAAAAAAAAAAAAAAAAAAAAAAAAAAAAAAAAAAAAAAAAAAAAAAAAAAAAAAAAAAAAAAAAAAAAAAAAAAAAAAAAAAAAAAAAAAAAAAAAAAAAAAAAAAAAAAAAAAAAAAAAAAAAAAAAAAAAAAAAAAAAAAAAAAAAAAAAAAAAAAAAAAAAAAAAAAAAAAAAAAAAAAAAAAAAAAAAAAAAAAAAAAAAAAAAAAAAAAAAAAAAAAAAAAAAAAAAAAAAAAAAAAAAAAAAAAAAAAAAAAAAAAAAAAAAAAAAAAAAAAAAAAAAAAAAAAAAAAAAAAAAAAAAAAAAAAAAAAAAAAAAAAAAAAAAAAAAAAAAAAAAAAAAAAAAAAAAAAAAAAAAAAAAAAAAAAAAAAAAAAAAAAAAAAAAAAAAAAAAAAAAAAAAAAAAAAAAAAAAAAAAAAAAAAAAAAAAAAAAAAAAAAAAAAATATATACTGATCGAATTGAGTAACCTCCTCCTTTTTCGAAGTCGGTTAAAAATACTGCATGGAAATCGTACCCTCATCTCAGTTTCATTTGGCTTAGGCATTTAACCCTTTTGTTACGTGTGCCGATTATAGTCGGCAGCCGTAACCACAGGTGGTGTCGACTATAGTCGACATTCGCGCTGAAATAGAAGACGCATTGTTTGCAGTATAAACGACAAAAGCTACAAAAATTTACCATATTGAATTAAATTATCAAGAATTATAATTTGTTGTCTAACTACCCCAAATTGTATTTCTACTTGTAATAATTATAGCAAAATTTCTAAATAACTAATATTCATACAATATACTCGTTTTCATGTTTTTCATATAATACGATGAAACAGCTGTTATCTAGCTCTTAAAAAAGTGTACATACAAAACAATCACACTTGACGTTGAAAGTCGTAAGTTCGAACATCGAAGACACCGACGTGCATAATGCACATTTCGCAGTGCGGCGCCCCATTCAGTGGCGTCACTCCAGCGCAGTGACTCCTTTTTGCTCTTTGCAAAACTCTACCTTATCGACGTGTAAGGGGTATTAATTTAACTCGGCACTTAATTTCTGCACATGAATATTTTTCAAATTTATTGCTTATAATGTCTTTGTAAACTATTAAATGTGTGAAATCGGACCGAACGAACGATTTAATTAGGCACAGTTCGCACTATATGGATTTAACATTAGCGCCCTGCGACACAAATGTGACAATATCATTGGACAAATTTCTTCCCTCTCTCTTCCCTGAATTTTGTTGATAACTATGAAAATTCAGATCATCGTGACATCTTTCTTTTGCAAACGCGCTTGAATGATTTGATTGAAATATGGAAGCGTTTCGACGAAATTCAATTTAATATCAAGGAACTCGACGATCCCAAAAAAGTGCGCAGACTCGAGATCCAAAACCATTATTCCTTTGCATTCGAAGATAATTTTATTGTTTGCAAACAGCAACTTTAAAATATTAATTAAAATGTTAAATAATTTCCATTATTGTCTATTTCACTATGTTTATACATCACATGAGGACTATTATAGAATTGTTAGAGAAAACGGGGAGGAAAAGAAAATAAAAACCAAGGAAGTAAGGAAACTGAAGATTGTAGCGTACATATATTGAAATAAAGAAAATTAAAGAAGATCTGTCGCTTTCGTCGCTCTCTATTTAACGGTCTGATTCGGTCTGAATCTCCTAGCTTCCTACCGATTCGCACCTTTGTTTCTCTCTCTCACTCTCTCTCACTCGCTCTCTCACTCTTTCTCTCGTACTTATCGTTCATTCGTCAGCCCATTCGCGCGCTTTTACAAAACCTATAACAGAATTAATTAAATAATGTTTGTTAGAAAAACTACTTTTTATATTAAGCAAGGCAAAAAGGCAAAAGGCAAAGTTCTGGGGTAAGTGCCGAGAGGTTCAACTTTGTCAGTCCTCTTAACAAAAGTAAGGATGCCTTCCCCACTCCGTGGCAAGATCCTTAAGGAACAACGTTCCTATTCATTTAGGCAATGCAATAACAAACTTCCTGCCTTTTCTACAGTCTCACAAACTAACAAAACAAGCAGTCCTGCGACATCCGATAGCCATGTGACTCTAAGTCAATAGCCATTGTCTGTTGTCTCACTTTGACTCTCATAAACAACCTTTCACTTAGACCTCACGCAGCCTATCCCTATCATAAATCGGCTAATTGCCCTCGACGACCCTCCAAAATACTGACTGAGAGGCGTCTCTCGAGCGCAAAAGGTTATTACGCTGTAGAAGCCCGAGCTAATCAGCTTACTCAAGGCGAACAATCAGCAGGTTTCTCGACCAGTGCTGTCAACGCATCACCTGCTTCGACTGTACCTACCCCAATGGCCATAAAATTGCCGGAAATGCGGTTACCCGTATTTAATGGTACCATCAAGAAATGATCATCACATTTCGATTTACATATTCTTTTCAATGATTGATTATAATGAGGATTTGATTCCAATCCAAAAATGACAGTATCTGCGGTCAACTCTGACCAGAAAGGCCGCCATATGCATCGAAGCTTTCGTACCACTGACGCGACGCTAATTACGTCAGCACAATCGAAGTATTAAAAGAAAAGTTTGATTGTTCACGTCGAATTATTTTAGGACATTGCGATGTATTACTTAAATTCCCAATCTTACGAAAGACTCCACATCATTTATTACAAAACGATCCATCATTTGAGAAATTGCAAAAGCATATGACGCACTGAGACTTCTAAAATCAGTTATCATTGACGCAAAGATTTTGTTGCAAAAGATTTAGACCTTGTAGGTTGTTTGGGACAAATCATTGCCCACGCATATCTATATCAAACAGGTACAATACTACACCTCTGTTGAATAATGTCATATTCGCAAGAAAAACAATTATCAACCACCCTAGCAAAATTACATTGCATGGATTTTACGATGCCAGTGAACCTGCTTACGGAGCGTGCATCTACCTTCCAACTAGTGATGTACACAGTTGCATCCAAGTAAAATTACTTGTAGCAAAATTTAAAGTAGCACCACTAAAGAACCAAATTGTTGTAATTTTGTAAACGCGCGCGGTTGAAAGGAGCGAATGAGGGCTAGAGAGAGAGAGAGAGCGAGAGAGAGAGAGAGAGAGAGAGAGAGAGAGAGAGAGAGAGAGAGAGAGAGAGAGAGAGAGAGAGAGAGAGAGAGAGAGAGAGAGAGAGAGAGAGAGAGAGAGAGAGAGAGAGAGAGAGAGAGAGAGAGAGAGAGAGAGAGAGAGAGCAAGAAACAAAAGGACGCGAAACGGCCGGAATCGAGTGAGTGCGATTCATGTAGAGAGCGAGTGTACAGTGTAAAGCGAACGCGGAAAAATATAGCAGCGCATCATTGACGGCGAGTCCGGATTACTTCCTTATTCGTTCCTTACCCTAATTTTCTCCTTTCCTCCCCAATTTTTCCTTTCCCCCCTTTTCCTCCAAAAATACTACAAAATAATTTCCTGATTGGAGCTTTACAGAGCACTACTCCTTTCAGCATTGATGTTTAAACTTGCTTTCTGACTACCAGAGTTTAGGATATTGCACTTCGTGGTGTCTAAGGTCGAAGGACACCCAAATGATTTGGGAATAAAAAACTAAGTTGTTGATTTGATTGACTGATATAATAAGTCTGAGAACACTGTTTCTGGTAGAAGGATTTTGCTAATCTGAATTGTTACAGATACAAGTCTTTTTCTAATTTCTCTATTCCGACAACCTCAGCTTCGTTGTCACCTCATCTTCGCACCCCTTCTCCTTCTTGTAAAAAGAGGGTGGGCCTTAACGCTAGGTTTCGCATTTCTTAAAATTATGTTGGCCATTACCGTGTTATTCAGTGCGTCCATAGCGCGGTACATCCCTGGAGCGGGGGTGACGGGCTGGTCGCTATCGTTAACACAAAACATGTGTTTTGCCGTTTGCCAAATGGCAACATCGAGGAAATTCCGTCAGGTCACTAATTTCTGAAATTCTAAGGAACCCTGTAGAATACGACTTTATGATACCCGAGCTTAAAGCAAAAAAGTAGACAATAGCTGATTTTTAAAATGACCTTTATGTGCCGCATACTGGCTGCAGACCGGCCTACTGAACTCACAAAGAAGAAAAACTAACGGTTTACGAATGATTTTATGAATATTTGGCCGTATCATAAAGTGGTCTCCTTGCTGTCTTAACAATTGATCTCTATATTTTAGAAGGCTTTACATCTACCAATTAAACGTACTGTTTTATGGACTGATTCGACCATCGTACTACATTGGCTGATGATATCTCTTCAAACCGAGTAGCTGAAATCTAAGCAAATACAAATGCAGCAGATTGGCGATATGAGTGAGTCTCTCTATGACTCATTACTCATAAACTCAGTTCATCCAGAAAATCCGTGTCCACCTTCCGAATCAAGAGACAAAAACCATACGGCCGCAATGGAGTGAGTAACCATTCCCTCCGTTGGACACCTCTAATCGTAACAAATTGGTGACAGCGATGGGATACGATTCGATCCCTGTGGCAAACTAACAGCAAGTTTACGCATTGCAGAGCACTAGATTGTTCAGAGAGAGGTTGCACGTGTTACGCGACGGTCCCACGCTGCGATGCATTCCAAAGATGTCGTCAAGTGCGAGAGAACGCTTTCCGGACCACCGACTCACTCTCAGTTGCAAGATAAGCGCACCGCATTCTTGAATGCGCCGACTCCCACGCTAGCATTCCCCCACCACTCGCCATGGTGTTTGCGCGTGGCGCGACAACGACGACTCACTCATTCAATCGTGCTTCGTGTTGGAGTAAGGACGCACAGTGGAATCAACCCCTTAATCTTTGAATTGACAGTAGTAATTGAGCACCAATTCGCCGAACAATCTGTTGTTGTAGGAGCGATTAAAATTGCTGTAAAATATTTAGTGTAATTGTCGAATTTTTATTTACATGATTGCAAGCGCTGTTGTGGCGAATGCGAGTCTTGCAAATATTTAAACGAAATTACATTATTTCAGAGTTTATTACTTTGGACGTTGTGTGTGACGTTTATCCTGCGATTCGACTGGAATTTTGGCGCATAATTGCAGCCGATTGCAGACGTTCGACAGGATGAAGGTAGGCGGTTGAGGCATTTAGTTTCTTTTTCGGGTATTTTTATTTAAATAAATTGTAGACAGAAACCAAACCGCGTAAGCGCAAGCGCGGTTGCCGCGCCGGAAGGAAAGTGAGAGAACGAAAGCTACGGGCCATGGAACAAACACTTTTGGAACAGACACGTGGGCCCACTGTCATTACGATAGATTCGGATCAAGAGCGCGCGACGGCTCAACCAGAAGTGAAACTACCCTATGACATCCTGAATAAGGATAAAATAATTTAAAAAAAAAAAATACGCCGACTTCGAAATTAAACGTTTACTGAAGTATTTTTAATTATGCGCCGCCTCCGAAAAGGTTGAAATGTATTTAATATACTACCTAACGAGTAAATAGGTTTCATTCATATCTGTTACGTAATTGTGTGATTGAATGAAATACAAATTACTTCATTAGGAAATAGAAATTATTTCATACTTTTTAGTGCATTTCGAAGTCGGCGTATTTTTTTTCTTAAAATTATTTTATTTCACGCTTTTTATCGGCCGACAAGACGTATTTGTAGAAACAGTAGAAAATCGGCACCTACCTAAACCTGGCACCCGACTTTCAAAAATTTTATTTCTTTCAATTGTATCGTGTTTAGCATCGTTTGTACCCGTTTGTACCACCTTTACTTTTGTTTGTACCTCAAAGGGTTCGTTTGTACCG